TCGCTATGAGTCAAAACCAACTCAACAGCACTTAACAGCAAAAACAAGAATCACAAAATCATCCCATTAATAAAATAGAAAAGTGTACAGTCTTGTCAGATGTCATGACCCGATCAGTGTTTCTTAACCTTAAATTATTTCCATCTGTGTATCCTGATTCACTTTGGAGAGTTGTCTAATGTGCCCTGGTTGGGGATGCGCTTAGAGATGAGATAGGAATTAACTCTAGAAGCCAAGAATCTTGTATGAGTGGGCTTCAAAATGTTTGTGGAAACAATCCATTATCTTTTCATTTCACCGCTTCACAGACTTTTTGAAGACCCCTTGTGTGCTTGCTGAAACACCCTTAACCAGTCTTCCTTTCCAATCTGGATCCTCTCTCAGCCATTAAATGCATGATTGACAGGTTTTATTTCCTCCTGACTAATTAACTTCCGTAAGGAGCTCTGGTAACGTAGTGGTTATGAATCGGGCTGTGAACCTCATGGTCAGCAGTTCGAAAGATGAGACTTTCTGCTCCTGTAAAGATATACAGCCTCAGAAACCCTGTACAGGGTCGCTAAGAGTTGGAACCAACTCCATGGCACATAACAACAGCAACAATAAACTTCCATGGGTCCCCATTGTTCCCAGATTGAAGTTCAGACTCATAAGTGGTTGATGCACAAGGCCCCTAGCTCTGGCTCCAAATTCCCTCTGTGGCTGCCTTTCTGGCCACCACTCCCCACCCCACCTCTGCCCCATGCCTTGTGGGTCATTTGCTTTACTTGCCATTACCTGGACACGTCACCCACTTTGTCATTGCCATGCCCTTGCTTCTGCCAAGATGCCCTTCCTGCCCACCTTCAAGGTTCAACTCAATATTAATTCCTGTGGAAAGCTTTCCTTGATGATCCCTATGTAGAAGTATTTGTTCTTTCCTCTATAGTCTCCTAATACTCTCTTTACACATACTGCATTGTATATCATTGATAGTAGTTCCATCTGGTTTTTGTCATCACAGTGTGAACTGAGGTCCTTTGGTAGGAAAGATATTTATTTTTTATGCTTTGTTTCCTTATTTATCCAATATATGACAGCTATCCAGTATTCAATGTTTGTTGATTTCAATTGTTAATAGATAGTTGTTGTTTGTTGTTAAGTGCCGTAGAGTCAGTTCTGACCCATAGCGACCCTGTGTAGAGTTTCCAAGGAGCGGCTGAGGAACTTGAACCACTGACCTTGCAGTTCAAACTGACGTTGCAGTCTAGCACTTTAACTAACCCACAGCACCATATCAGCTGTGGCACTGTGGGTTAATGTGCCAGACTGCAAAGCCGTTTGAACTGCAAGGTCAGCGGTTCAAGCTCACCAGCTGCTCCTCGGAAACCCTATACACTTTGGGTCGTAATCAATTCGATGGCACTTAACAACAACAACAACCATACCAGGACTCTAATATATAGCTATAGCTTCATATTCTTGTAGGCTGTTTCCAAAATACCTCTAGAGATTATTTTATTTAAGGAAATCTTTACTACTACAAAACTGGTTTCAATTCCAAGGAAGAAATTTCACTAACTTCCACAAAGTTAACATTTTCCCTTGATAAAATGCCATTGTCCTGATGTAGTAAAAATGTATTAGTAGTGCCTTTGCATTAGGTCTTTCTCTTTTTTTGATTAAACGTTTGTAATGTAATAGGGAAAGTATTTTTACAATACATGCATAAACAAAAATGTCTAACATTGTTGCTCATCTTTTTTATTTTGTTGATAGAATAATTTTGCAATTCACAGTTGTCCTAATATCTGAGTGTAGCCCAAGACTTCCTGAATTGACAGTTGTTTCTCTGCTCTGAAAGGTTCTTCAGAACTTGATAGTATGACTTCTGTTTCAAGAAATACAAGGTCCAAAAAGCCACAAGTCCTCCCTTTAGAAAATCTTGGGTGTCACTGAATTGATTATTTCAAAATGAAACTTCATGTGCTCAGCTGTGATTGTCCTCACCCACGCTGTCCTTTCCTGGCTAATTCCCAGCTGGAATGTTTGCACAGAAAACACTGAGGCTGAGGAGAGGAGAAATGGTGACTAGAGCCGTTGATGGCTTATGCTCTCCCTATCACACCCAAGTTGAGTTTTCTCCTCAGATATTGGCTGTTTCCATCATCTCTTCAGGACCCTGATGGAAACATGGGCCTCCTCAAATAAAGTCAAAAGAATTCCTTTGCTACAAATTAAACACTTAAAATAATAATAAATCCACAGACAAGAAATAGTTCAGCCACACTGAATATATACATACAGAAAGACTACTCTATTCCCCTACACTGAAAAGAGGATTCAGACTGAGGATCATTAAGGTGATGACCAACAGAATTATGTCTGTTGTCACTTTTGACTGAAGTCAGAGAGATACTACTGAGATACTGCTACTTTTTAGCACATCTACTTGTAGTTTGTCATTCCCTGCTTGGCTCCTCTGTACTTGTCTTTCCCATCAGGATCTTAGTCGGAGTTACTGTATTGACAATCTGCTGTGATTGACGAGGACTGTCTTGTTAACATTTTCTCCCACTTTTCAACCCCCAGAGCAATGCTAAGAAGACCTTTGGTTTAAGGAATTAAAAGGAAGAATAGCTTCGTCCGATAAGAAGGCACTCTTCAAAGGTAGGACTTTGTCTTTTTTAAGAGTTTAAATTATTTCTTCCCTAACAAAGGGAATTGTACCATGAAATGATGTGATTGTACCATATTATTCTGGTAATTAATATTGTTTTCAGACAAATGTCTTTTCAAATATGGTGAAAAGACAGGATACAGGCATATAGATACAAAATCCTCAATCACCCTACTTGTGAAAGAAGCTGTATTAAATACATAAGGAAGAAAACCAGCCCTTCTTGACCCTTCATAGTAACAAGATTTTTGTTTTATAAAATCATGAATGATAAACTGCAGAACATAAACAGGACTGCAAGTAAACAGTATGCTTCTGAAGGTACTAAGAATTGCAAATTGCAGGGAACCATTTCCAAGAATGTTCTTTTGATCCAACCATGTATTAAAACTAGAACTTTTCTTGTCTCACAATAAAGTCCAATTAATACTAAAATCTGTTTCAAAAGTTTAAATATGACTTTGATTCGTGTTTTCTACTTTGTAAATCCCTTTCCCACCCCACCGCTTGATGTCATTCAGACTTATCAGCTCTAGAACAGATTCTGTCAGGCCTGTGGTGCCTTCTAAAAGGTCAACTATTATAATACTAAATTCGATGAAAAAGATCTTACTTGGAGATCTGGAACACAGTTCTGAGAACTGTATCTTAACCAATAATGGCCCTCCTAAAGCATTTCTGAGAGAGTGATTGTTCAGAAAGTTAGATCTCTACCTCATTTGGTTTCATTGAACAGATAAAACAAAGGCTCATGGACTTGGGTTGAGAAAAAAAGATTGCAACATTTTGTGTCAGGAAAATGGTCCAAGCATGTTGTGCCTTGTCCCTGAGAATTCTTAAGTTGCTCCGTTTAGATGTTGCCTTGTATTTAAGAGGAAATGATCCATGCCTCAGTTGAATTTATATCTGTTGTGTTGCACTGATACTGATTTCATGTGACTAACTTGTTCTTATGGTGTTTCAAAATTCCATCAGAAATCCTCAAATGAATAACCTGGAAATCAAGAAATGTTACTTGGAAATCAAACAGCACACATTTTGTTCTTATAAAGTATCTTGCTCCATCTGTCTTTCCGGGACATGGAAGTCTGTATGCATATATACCACACTGCAATTAATAGAGGTCAGGAATAATTAGTAATGATGTTAGGTAAAGTGGCTTACCAAGAAAGTGACATGGTGTCCCTTTAAGATCACAGCAGGGCATCTGTCAGACAAGGGAATACTCAGATGGTTTCAAAGGGAGTTTCCTTGGCTGTGTGTATTATATTCTCTTTCATTCATTGCAGGAGAGTCATTTGATTTAAAACCTCTATCTTCTAAAGCAACAAGTGAAAAAGGTTCAATTCTACCGTTCTCAGTGCATACTTCATACTGATCTTTTTTGGGTAGTCTTTTGTTGAGTGAGTAAAGTGAACTTTTCGATGGCAGGCAGTATGAAAGCCACGTACACATTTCATTTTATCTCTGTGAATGATTTAATCTGGTGGAAACTAAATACTATGTGTTTTCCCTGTTTCCACATATTATCCCCCTTGTCTCCCAAAGACTTGCTGAAATATCACAAACATCGAATGCATACTTGTATTCAGTGTCCCTAGGCTATTCAAGAATTCAGTCTGACATTAAAATAAGAAAGTGTTTTTGTGGCTACTTAGAAGGTTCTCTAGTCTTTCCCACATTCACCACTGTACTGAGGTACCCCCCAGAGGATAAGAGCAGCTAAATGGTGGGCTGTGGTTGGAAACCTCCACCACTGGTCCTCAGCCGTGTCTCTGGGGAACATCCTGCGTCTTCTGACCGGTGTCTGGCAGAAAAAAACTGTGTTTGCCTTTGTCATTAATGCTAATGTGGAAAGTCTCTCCAAGAAAGATAAATCTGCTTTCTACCTGAGTTAAAAATCACAGATAGTTGAATTTCAGCAAGCAGCCAGAGTGAGGATGAACATCCGTGAAATTACTGCATGTAACTGATTTTCTGCTCGGGCTACATGTGTGAGTTTGGCTCTGAAAAACAATGCCATGGTACAACTTAAAGCTTTTATTTGACCTTGGCAGGCTATGAACAAAGAAAACAATCTTGTAGGTTATTGGAATTGTTTACAGAATGTTTTTTGGTTGATGGTGTTAACATTGTTATTTTCCCTTGGACTCATGGGATTAAGTTTTTTTAAAGTGTGCATTATACATCTTAGATAATGGGAGCGATATTCTGAATTGCAACCTGATAGCAGTAAAAAGACTTTGTCTTACAATTACTGTGTCGTTGACTAAAGGTGAACCAGTATTTTGCTACAAAGTCCGGATAGGAATACAAGTTTTATACTACTTAACAATAAAGTGCCTGGATAGCTCAGTCAGTAGAGCATTAGAGTTCTAATCTAAGGGCCCAGGGTTCAAGTCTCTGTTCAGGCAGAAGCTATTTGGGACTCCTGGTATGGCACTGTAAAATCACCACTGGACTGCAAATCACAAGGTTAGCAGCTAAGTTCAAAACCACCAGCAGTTCCTTGGAAACCCTATACAGGGTCGCTATGAGTCGGAACCAACTAAAAGACACTTAACAACAACAATCAAGGGATGTGTCAAAATTTTGTCCTACAGTATAATTTCAAAGCTGAGAGGGTTTTATCTCATTCTTAACACCAGCCAAATATAGGCAACACATACTATTTGTGGAAGGAACCTCACAAAAGCAAGGGATACAATACTCCTGAATGAAAGTTACCCTCAGAAGCCTAGAATTTATACAAACGAAGGCTGGGATATAAATCTCACCAAAGGATAGTCACTTCTTTATTGTTTTATATCAGTTAAGGTGGATTCCTTAGTTGTTGTTGTTGTTAAGTGCCCACTATATGCTTATGCTTAACACACTATATCATCATGACTCCTCTGTTGTTGTTAGGTGCCTTAAGTCAGTTCTGACTCGTAGAGACCCCTAGTACTTCAGAAGAAAGCACTGCCTGACGCATTGGCAGCCTCACAGGTGGTGCTGCGTTTGAACCTAGTGTTGCAGTCACTGTGTCAGTCCATTTCGTTGAGGGTCTTCCTCTGCACGGTGGTCCAACTCTAATCCCCAATAATTATATCTAAGTTATTACGGCATCTGTGACTGGGAGGCCTTCATTGGTTAAATCCTCTCTGTCCCTTGCATCCTGTTCTTATAATTCTTATACGACACAACTACTTTTCTCTAGACAATCCGTCTCACTGTCTTCTTTCTACCACCAGCACTTGGGGCTGCTCAATTTGTTTGCAGTTTCAGAAGGCTCAGAAAGAGCAGTTGAACAGTATCTGAAGAAAAGCATCTGCATTCTTTCTTTGGTGGTGGTTGTTGTTAGGTGTCATTGAGTCGGTGCCGACTCATAGTGACCCTATGCACAGCAGAACAAAACACTGCCTGATCCTGGTCCAACCTCACAATTGTTGCCACGCTTGAGCCCATTGATGCTGCCACTTGGCCAATCCATCTCATTGGGTGTCTTCCTCTTTTTTTCTGACCCTCCACCTTACCAAATATTATATCGTTCTCCAGTGACTGGTCCCTCATGACAATATGTCTGAAGTCTGAGAGACGAAGTTTGGCCATCTTGGCTTCCAAGGAGCACTCTGGCTGCACTTCTTCCAAAATAGATCTATTGGTTCTTTTGGCAGCCCATGGCACTTTCAATATTCTCTTCCAACACCATAACTCAAAAGTATCAATTCTTCTATGGTCTTCCTTATTCACTGTCCAGCTTTCACATGCATATGAGGATATTGCATCTCAATGTAAAGAAGACAAAGATCCTCACCACAGGACCAATAAACAACACTCTTATCAAAAGATTGAAGTTGTCAAGGACTTCATTCTTCTTGGATCAACCATCAACACTCACGGAAGCAGCAGTCAAGAACTCAAACGACACATTGCATTAGGCAAATCGGCTGCACAAGACCTTTTTAAAGTGTTGAAGAGCAAAGACGTCAGCTTGAGGACTAAGGTGCACCTGACCCAAGCCATGGTATTTTCAATAACCTCTCTCTTTGAAGGGAGTGGGCAATAGTGCCTGGGTGAGAGATTGATGAGGGAGATGCAGTCAGGTTCTTGTTGGCAGCAATGTTTAGTGCTAGTGGTCAGTAGAGGGAACCCTGCAACTCTCACAGGCTCCTCCCCTCTCCTCCCACTGAGCTCTGGTGAGAAGAAATGTCTGCTTTGAAACTGGAAGGGGAAAATTGGCAGACTTACTCCAGTACAGGAAATGTGTAGCGACTTAGCACTTAAACACCAGCAGGCTGATGCAGTAACTTTGGGAAACAGGTCTTTGCAAATATTTACTGATTATTTCCCCTAAATGCACTTGTTGGTTTATAGATTTTTAAATGTGTTCTAGGCTCAAAGGAGCTCTGGTAGCGTAGTGGTTACGAATCGGGCTGCGAACCTTAAGGTCACCAGTTCGAAACTACCAGCTGTTCTGCGGAAGAAAGATGAGGCTTTCTGCTCCCGTAAAGATTTACAGCCTTGGAAACCCTGTACAGGGTCACTATGAGTCAGAACTGATTCCACAGCACATAACAACAATAACAACAACAGGCTCACTGGAATTACAGCTAGGAATAAGATCAGGTTAGATTTGTGGGTTGTGAACTTTAACTTGCAGTCTCATTGAGATGATTAGACCAGTGTCACCAAACAGAAAGGGGGGGTCACTACCCCATGGTAATTATCATCAGTAAGTACAACTTCACGGATTTAACTCTCCCTGAAGGGAAGCTTATTTATAGCGATGGTTATAAATGACATCTCTTGTTGTTGTTGTTGTTGTTAAGTGCCATTGAGTCGGTTCCGACCCATAGCGACCCTGTACAGGGTTTCCAAGGCTGTAAATCTTTACGGGAGTAGAAAGCCTCATCTTTCTCCCACGGAGCGGCTGGTAGTTTCGAACCGCTGTCCTTAAGGTTCACAGCCCGATTCATAACCACTGTGCTACCAGAGACATCCCTTACCCATTCATAATTAGTTTCTTTATGTTCAGTATTCTATACCCACAATCAGTATTTATTGAACTTTAGTTGTGCACCATAAGCCACTGAGTGGGATACTTTGAGTGTTGACAATTTAAGTAAAACCAAAAACCAATTCTGTGGAGTCAGTTCCACTTATGCTAACTCCATGTGTCTCCAAGTAGAGCTGGACTCCATAGGGTTTTCAGTGGCTGCATTTTCAGAAATAGAGCCCCAGGCCTTTCTTCTGAAGCCCTGCTGGGTAGACTTGCACCTCCAACCTTTTGGTTAGCAGCTGAGAATGTTAACCATTTGTACCACCTAGGGACATTCAACAGAATACTGGAAAGCCTTAAGTATTCTTGCATACATTTATACCCCCTGCACCCCGTATGCATAAGGTACAAATGTGTGCATAGGTTATGTGGGTACTTTATCATTTCCCTTTTTCCAGCATCTGGCCATTTCATCCCTGGCTGCTTTTTGAGGGAGTCTAATCCGGACAGGGGGGTTATCGAGGAAACTACCCAGGAGGAAAATGAAGCCCCGTGTGGAACAGGAGGCTGGGACAGGCCCCTTGCTGGTAATGCAGTATGTTGCTGTCACATCTGACTGCGTACACAAATAGATTCTTGAACTCGGTTGTTTTTTTGTGTTCTTTTTTGCTTTACTCTGTTTTGTTTTATTTTGCCTTTCATGACAGCATTAGTTTTGGAAAGCAAAGAAAAAAGTCTTTTGGAAGGATTCACGTTTTCGTATCTGCAGAAGGCGTTTCGACAGCTTTTGTCTGACTTAGCTGGTCTGTAAAGATTCTTTGTTTCTGGTTGACTATTGTAGAAAGCAAGTCCATAAACTATCCTGAATACAGGAGAGAATGATTTCTATTGAAAGACTCGAGTAGGATATGGTGCATGGACCAGTCCTGAAAAGGGTTTTGTTTCTTACAGCATGGTAGAAATTCACATTCAGATTGCTGCTTCTTGTTATTTAGCGTGCTGCAGTTAAACAATGGGGCATGCCAGCCACTGCTGCACTCTTGATTAATGCATTCCACGAATGTGTTGATTAATGTGATCCTGGATGCCTCCTTAAGCTGAGGAGGCTGCACCTGAGGTGTGTCGGATGTGCCTCCTCTCCAGCTGCTGTTCTGCTCACGTGAGTCCATTCACAACTGGGTCTCTGTATATTTCACACCAGTGTCATTTATAAATTAGACCACAGATCCAGATTTTCTTAAACATAAATATTCTCCCACAAAAGTAGCCTACACTGTGATCTTTCAAGGATTTGCCAAAGTATGAAGCCTATAGGTGGAATGCTCTTCTAGCTAAATGTGAATGCTAAGTGGCAGCTGTCTTCTCTGAGGATGATCCTGTCCTGAGTTTCATCTTTGTTCTTTTAAGTCAAAAGAAAAAGCTGAAAAACGTCCTGCTTGTAATTTTCACTTGAATAATAAAGGCAGCCACATGCAAATGGACTGTCCATTAGAGGCTTGGTGAACTTGGCATCTCAGTTGGAAACCCACTCTTCCTGGAGGCAGGCGTTTCCATCAGCCTAGGTGGGAATTGTGTTCAGTCGACTTCACTCAGGGTTGTGACTTTTCTTGCTGTACTGTTTTGAATTTCTATAAACCACAATTTTTTTTTTCATAGCTTGTTTCCCAAAAAAGGCTAATCTTGATGTAGTTGCCAACCAGCTAATGGTTTGAGAAACATGAATGTTTATTTGTTTACTATCTTCTACTTGTTATTTGAGACATAAGAATTCCACTGTCACTTTCAAAATTTTCTGACCTTAGAATTCTCAGCAAGATGACTACAATGATGAGAAAGCCCTGTACTACAATGGCGAGGGAGGAGGGCCCATGCATAGGAGAAATGGCCCAGTGATGCTGGGGTGATAGCTTTGGCCCCGGGGCCTGGAGGCTCTAACTACAAGTTTCACAGTGGAATCCCTCAATGTGGCTCAGAGCAAATAGGCTCTGAATAAGAGGAGCATTATACATCTGAGAGAATTGCTGTATGAAAGTATTGTATAAATTGATGGTGATGTCACCAATATTGATCCCATTTAATTACTATCAGGAGATTAATTAAAAAGGATAGCATTCTGGTATTTTTAGATATAAAATTTCAGTTGAAGACTCCTCATTCCATTTAGATTTATCAGTGGTGAAATTATTCAAAGGTTCATTTTGGTGCTTCATAGAATTCATGGCTTCACTCTTATTTGATTAATGATATCTAAACTCAACTTTGCTGTATCTGAAAACACAGCTATACCAACAATTGTGAAGTTGGCCCAGGACCAGGCAGTGTTTCGGGTCACTATGAGTCATAGCTACGGGTTGCTATGAGTTGGTACTAACACGATAGCACCTAACAACAACAACAACAACAAATATCTGTTTCTCAAGGAATATTTGTATG